TCTCCCGAGAACGCTGGTTTTCGGTCTCAGCTGGACCATGGACTCACTTTATTCGTTGGATGGGTTCAAGAGGTTCAGATTACCTCTTGATTCTGACTCGTTTCCTGGGTTATAGAGTTTCACCCGTTGAGCGTTAACCATGAACGAACCATCCTTTCCATTATAGAGTTCTACGGCACCGTGAATCATGACTTTCTTAATCGTAAAAGGACCAGACCAGCGAGATTTTAACTTACCTGGAAAGAGGCGCAGTCTAGAGTTGAAAAGAAGAACCTGATCGCCCTCCTTGAATGTGCGTGGAAGAATGTGGCGGTCATGCCATTTCTTCGCTCTCTCCTTGTAGATTCGTGCGTTCTCGTAAGCATTCAACCGTATCTCCTCCAAGTGGTGAAGGTCCAAAACTCAGTCAAGAAAGGATTGGTCGTTGAAGTTAGAAGATGCGGTATGGGCTTATAGGACTGCCTTTAAGACCCCAATAGGAATGACTCCGTTCCAACTCGTGTATGGCAAGGCGTGCCACTTACCGGTTGAGTTGGAGCACAAGGCTTACTGGGCAATCAAGGCATTGAACTATGATGCAGCGGAGAAGCGAGGTTTGGAGCTTCACCACTTGGAGGAGATACGGTTGAATGCTTACGAGAACGCACGAATCTACAAGGAGAGAGCGAAGAAATGGCATGACCGCCACATTCTTCCACGCACATTCAAGGAGGGCGATCAGGTTCTTCTTTTCAACTCTAGACTGCGCCTCTTTCCAGGTAAGTTAAAATCTCGCTGGTCTGGTCCTTTTACGATTAAGAAAGTCATGACTCACGGTGCCTAGAACTCTACAATGGAAAGTATGGTTCGTTCATGGTTAACGCTCAACGGGTGAAACTCTATAACCCAGGAAACGAGTCAGAATCAAGAGGTAATCTGAACCTCTTGAACCCATCCAACGAATAAAGTGAGTCCATGGTCCAGCTGAGACCGAAAACCAGCGTTCTCGGGAGATATCCCGAGATTGTACATATTTCCCGTTTTCCTTTTTCGTTGACTTTCGACTCTACGCCTACTCCTAAAAATTCATTTTTGCTACTGCTCCTCCCTTGTTGAATCGGACGGTTAATCCGCGAAAACTTGAGCTCGGTTGAAAAAAAAAGTGATAAAAGGTACAGAAAATTCAGGCTACTCGCCTGAATAACCGAGCTACCGCCCTGAAACGGACGAACAAAATGCTGATTTTGACAGGGAATTCGGGCTACCAGCCCGAATAAGCAAGCTACGGCCTGATTTGCTATGTCTAGGGTTTCCATCAAAACTGTCTTTACCATTTTACCCCTTCCTCTTTCCTAGCATCAAGCCACTGCCGTTTTTCACCCATTCCAAACAAGAAAGAAAAAAAAAAGTGAGAGAGGGAGAGAGGTACCGAGAAAGGAGGAGCAAACACCAAGTCCGGCGGATCTCTGCTCGGACCGACCTCGCGACCGTCGTCCACCGCTCCACCAACTCTCCTGCTCTCCCTGCGAGCTTCCGATGGCGGCGAGGTATGCACTGACTGCTCCTTGCTTCGTCTTCTTCGATTCTCCTTGGGTTTTCGAAAACCCAAGCTCTCTAGACTGATTTCAACTTCTCATTTCGTTTCATGGGTCCAAAATTGAAACTTCCGGCACCCTTAACTCGATTAGAGACCGAATCCCTAGGTGTATGGATATGTGTGCCCGATTTCGAAGGAGATATGGAGATTCAGAAATTCCAAGCGGCCGCTCGATTTTTCGAGCGCCCCGCTGGAATTTTCTGAGCTAGTCTCGCCTCATTTTCGCCAAAAGCGAACCTCTCACCGAATCTTCTGTGTTATATCCGTTCTCGATGCCGATGCAGGGTTCCCAACAAAGGATCTCTCAACCAAAAGAGATCACGATCAGCAGCTACCCAAGACGTCTCTGCGTCTAAACCTCCGAAAGAAGCTCCTCCGACATTCTCCACCAAGAAAGAGTTGAGGAGCGGGACGATAACTGAGCTCACTGAAAGTAGTGCAGAAATCACCAAGGGACAAAGCCCTGAATTGAAGTTCTCGAAAAAGGACGAGGCACGTGATGCCATAGAGCGCTTCAAGAACATTCCTTTCAAACCATCCAAGTTTATCAGTAAGGATACGGTGAAAGAACTTGGGATAGAGGGCTGTGTTGATTACATCTTTGACAAATTGGGTTGGACAAAGCTTTGTAAGGACATCAATCCGACCTTCAAATCTGTCGCTGTAGAGATCTTGGCTACATATCACTGCTATTTCCCCGAAGATGGTACAATTGAGGAAGCTTACATGGAATTTCGTCTGAACCGTAAGTGGGTTCGACTCACTATGGGGCAAGTAGCCGAAGCACTTGAAATCCCGAAGGGTTCTACTTGGAAGATACCTACAATCTCGTCCCGTGCACTTCAGAAATTCTGGAAGCAAATTGCAATCCGAGAGTTCTCTAGCTCAACTGCACGAGCATCACATATCCAGCATCCAGCGATCCGCTATGCACATCAGATTATAGCAAGCACGATCCTAGCACGTCATGAACCAGGAAAGGTACACAAGTTGGACCTCGCCTACTTATATGAGGCATTGCTGGAGTTTCATGGGGGATGGAGTCTAAACTCATTCTCGAGATCTGGTTGGACAACACTAGATACTGCATCGAGGATTACAATCTACATTGGTATTCTATCCCAGACCACAGCAAAGAACGTGAACATATGCATTGGCGGTATCCTTAAAAAGATAGCACGGAGGGTCAACACAGGAATCACTTTTCGCATACCCGACTCATCCATAGAAGATTCTCAACTAGATGTTGAAACATTGAAACTGAGAAGTCACATAGAAAAGGGCACAGGGTCTTGGATATTCGCAGATTCGAGTGAAGTTAAGAGATCTGTGAAACTTTCCACCGAGGAGATAGCAACGTTCAGCGTCGAGACACTACGGTTAGATTTCCTCAACGCAAGGCCAATCCGAGCAGAAGGAGGCATAGGAATACAAGGAGCTCATACCCACAATGCCAAACTTGACCTCCTCAACCAGAATGTGGAAGCAATGCGTACACAGATTGATGTCAATACAGCTACCCTCGAGACCCTGACCGAGAAACTCTCATCTCTTGAGAATCTTCTCCAAGAAAAGATCATGAGTATCGAGACTAATCTCACGGATGCAGTCGAGCGTTCTCAACGCCACATAGTGCGAGAAGTTCAGAAACTCCTCAACGACCAAGCTGGACACACTTCGGAACCCGAGGGTACTGAATATGACCCCATGAACGCATTCGACACTGAGATGGCAGACCACAGCGAAGAATGAAGGACGAGAGCATCGAAGACAATTCCCCCTTTTGATCTAGACTCATCGCATTATCTTTTGATTTGCAGACTTGTTATGAAACCTTCTCTTTTGATGATGAACTCTTAAGCATGTTATGCTCTTATCTAACGTTCTCTTGATGGACTTTTAAAGTTGCGATAGCGTTAGTGTGGTTTGACAAATTGAAACAGGAGATGGCTGTAAGAAGGCACAATGGGCAGATTCAGCATCTGAATAAACTGCGGCTGCAGCTCAAAATGGTCTAAGGGTTGTCGGTTGATGCACGAGAGTAGCTGAGTATGCTTGGCCGTCGTGTACATCCCAAAAGTCTGCAAATTAGCTCGGGCATGCTCTCTTGGCTGTGCTTCACCCCTTGCTGCCTCTTCTGCCATTCTGTCCTCTCTTTGTTTTCTGCGGATTTCCCTTTCTGTTCTGTCTATGTCCGGGTCAAAGGCAAGCTCAAAATCTGAGTCGAGTTGTCTTCGAGTGGGACGTCTGCTCATGCACTAAGAGAATCTGCAAAAATAAAAGTCCAGAAAAAGGCAGAGAAGGTGAATCGAAGTGAATAAAAAGACAGAGAGTAGGGAGAGACACCCGATAAAGTCCAGAACGATCCCAGAAAAGTCCAGGAAAATCGGAAAAAATCCAGAAAAATTCAGAAAAGTCCAGGAAATGTCCAGAATAACTCCGAAAAAGTCCAGGGAATTCTGAAAATGTCCAGAGAGGTCCCGAAAAATCCAAAACAAGTCCAGAAAAGTCCAGAGAAATACAAACAGCAAAAATAATAAACAGAAAAATCAAGAAATAAAAGAAATAAAGAAAAATTGACTCAAGAGAAAAATAAAAATCACACAAACACACAAAGAAAAAGGAAGTGAACAAACACACAAAAAAATCAAACCGAAAAAAATCAAAGACTCCGGAAAGACTAACCTAGAGTCAATCTATCCTAGCTATGGAAACCGTAAAAAGTCCCCGGCAACGGCGCCAAAAACTTGATCACTTGCGTGACGAGCTTTAAATTTATACCCGACACACAACTAATCCGCAAGTATACGGATGTCGTAGTACCGGGGTCGAACACAAGGACTTAAGCGATTAAGCTAGGAATCGACTAAAACTAGGAAAATGGAGAAAATAAAATCGGAGAATTGTTTTTGTTGGTTTTCGTAAGTTGCAGAAAATTAAAAGAAAGAAACTAAAATCAAAGATAATCACAATTCAAGAGGAGATAATCGATGGGAAAGGTTATGGGAATCGGGTTTCACCGATCATGCAAGGATGTCGTAAAGGATTGTGGACCTAGATCATGCTCGTTCTAAGGTGAGTTAGAGTCACCACAGGCCATAAAAAAAGATGAGCGTTCTAATGTTTATTTGGATTATACGCCTGACTTTTTGATCGTAGACGAGCATTTAAGGACAAACTACGAAGAGACGGAACTGAAATATGTGCCTCCACCACCAAGACCACCACCGGTTCCGTTCCCTTCACGCCTAAAGAAACACAAGGAAGATGTTCAGTTTGATCAACCATGTTCACAAAAGCGAAAATTCGAGGTGAAATCACATAAGGTTGAACTGGTTGTTTACTCATCCGAGACCATTCCCATCTCGGATCGAGCGGTCCCCCAAACTGATATTCAAGGAGATCCATCATCTCTTCCATCGGACTTCCATCCTGACTCCCAATTTCCACCACTCAATCTTCGATCGGTCGGTAAGGTAAATAAAGAACTACATCACATCGATCGAGGTCATACCAAGTCGGGTGAGTTTGTCCCATCTAATCTCATTCCACCTAAAACCATTTCGTCAAGAAGCATTCCCCCTGAACCCCCTCCTATGTGATCAAGAGAGTCGAGCTAAGGACCTTAAACAAGCGCTTCTGGGAGGCAACCCGAGGTCTTAGGTTAGTCTTTTTCTTTCCTTTCTTTTTCTTTTTGCATTGGATATTGGTTTGTGTCTCTTATCACCATGTTGAGTTCTAATGAGGAACTATTTAGGAGGCAAGGAAGCTAGCTATGCGATAGACGTAAGCAGACTTAAGTGCGAGTGAACGAACATCGTGAGCTCGGTATTCTTTTCCCTTTTTGATTTGCTTCTCTTTTGACTCATCTTATTGGTTGCCTCTACTAGACGAGAATTGACACCGAGGACGGTGTCCAGTTCAAGTCTGGGGGAGGATTCGTCTAACGCCAAACCATATCCATATAGAGTAGTGTTGAATGCATTTTTTCCTTTTATTTTCACTTGTTAGTTGCATGTGCATGTAGGATGCATTAGGATCATATAGTTTG